GGGGGGGGCGGGGGTGGCCCCTTAGGGTGTTTTTTATACATTTCCCGGGGGGGGGGGGGAGTGCTTTAATTAGAGCGGCTCCAAGAGCCACTTTAGTTAAAGCTCCACAGCAACTCATGTTTCACGTCCCTGCACTTCAAAATGGCTGCGAGGGCACTTAAACTAAAGCTTGTTTATGGGGATGCTGATATGCGAGACATGGAGGCTGGCTGGATTGTGGTAATTGTCATGCTCCAACAGACTCAATTAATGGAGTCTGCTTTGATGTGCTGTAATTATACCACATCAGAGGAGCCTCTGCACTTGTGCATAGGTACCCTTAGAGACTGGTTCAGAGAGACATGAGGTTTTTGGGGGGGTTTTTGTAGGTGATAAAATAGTCTGTCACCTAAAAAAAGATCATGCCTCTTTGAACTAGTTAGTCTCTAAGGTGGCCCCCATCTAACTTTCTGCCTGATTTCAGGCTAACCACTTCTCTGTTTTCCACACGTTTAGTGGCATTGTTCTCTTATTGAGTACAAGAATGTTTGTTTATGTGTCACTTTTTCTGTCGTCCCAATTGCCCTTCACGGTGCTGTTTGTTTGAGAGCTCACTTCAAAGCCAGGATTATGCATTCTGATGGCAGCCTTATGCGATTGTGACACATTTTGTATTCTGTAAAGGTAGGGAAACTTGCCAGCACTCATACACAATAGGTGGCTGGCCTTACCAATTGAGGAAGCTTAATGTATCTTTGTAGGATCAAATCTCAAGCCTTGCTAGACATTTTCAGATTAATCTATTTATTTTTAGTATCGTTCATTCCTTGCCTTGTCTGACAGGAGTTTTGAAAATAACATATGAAGGATTTGTTTAAGTAACATCCTTTGCTTTCATGCATTCATTTATGAAGTTAGGGAATACTGGGTTCAGACATAGGAAAGACCTCCTCCTCCATCTGCTAGGTCATGGTATTTTGCCAGCATAGTTTGTCTTACCATTGCCTAGGTCAGATGTATATGGAGTTATGTATTTGCGTGACCAGGGTGTAGCCTACTGTGTGTGGTCAGTAGCTATGTGGATGTGCACCATGCTGTGCACGCAGGAAGATTGCAAACTCTGCATAAGGACCAAAAATGGCAGTTGCGTGGCTAGGTAATTGCCATTTGGGCACATAAAGCAAAATGGGATTCTGCTGTTTGTGTCTCAGCTGTATTTTTGTGCTTAATGTAGCCCCACTTGGCTGCTGCAAATAAAAACAGCCTCAGCCCAATAGAAATGAGGAGCAGGACAAAAGATGTGCAAGTGGAAGAGCTGTTCCTGTTGTTTAACACGTGATTGCGAGTCACAAGTCCTGGCTTCTGCTCTGTGCTCAGCTAGAACTTCTCTTTGTTGCTGTGCCATGCAGCTTTCTTCTGTATAACACAGAAATATTTGTAAACACTAGTATCATTATTATATTTTAGGTCCTAATTCTTTGATGCCTACAAAGTCGTTTGGATAGTTAAACCTCTTGGTGCTGTAAAAGCACAACATGATTTTACCTTGCAAAGATGGAAAGGATTTTTGGTAATGCCTCTGTCTGTGTGTATGTAACTGATATTAAGAAACAGCGGTTACAACCAGGCATAGAAAGGGAAAGACCCTGTAATATGCTGCAAATATTAGTGATTACATTTCAGTGTTTGAAGTCATGAGTACTTATGTTTTCATTTTGAAACTGTCAGAAGTAGATTAAGCCTAAGATATTTGCCATTTTAGGGCTCATATAGGCCTTTGTTCCCCTTCTTTTGATCCTGTCTGGTGATTTTTAACATTTTGGTCTGGGATTAAAAAAACAAACCAAAACAAAAAACATTTAAGTCATCCTTGAATCCATGCTTTATATCATCAACAGGATTTATTAAACACTTGAATAGGGATTTTGCTGTATCAGGCCTACTTTATACCTTGTTGAAGCCTGCAGATTTGCTCACTATGTGAAGGCCTGATATAAAATTCTCTGACATCTATAGAAAGCATCTCATTGATTTTACTGAGCTTTAGATCAGGCCTTAATTGAGAACAGAACCAGTACTGATATGTTACAATAAATTGCTGCTAAACAGTACTGCACAAATAGAATTATTCCATCTATTACATTTAATTAGGTTTGGAAAGGAGGTGAATTTGGCCTCACTACATAAATTATGATATTCTGTTAGGCATCTGCTTTAATTTTATCATGATATATTACTCTTCATGGAAACAAAATTATCCCTATTCATTTCATTATTCTAATGAATTTTGAGCAACATTGTTGAACTGGTATCCTGAGCTCAAGAAATTACACTGCAAGTTAGTTAATATAACATGTAAAATTATGTTTTTAATATGAAACACTAGCAAATATGATTTGGCAAAAACTTTTTTATGTTATTAGTTGTAATTATAGGGCCAAATAATGCAGCCATTACTGCCTTTCTGAATAAGGATTACAGATTCAGACCTGTCATTTCCATACAGCCCTCCCTACTACACTAGGTAGAAGACTTTGTTCATTTTCTTTTCCTATGATCCATAATTAGGGACCTACTTAAATTCTAGTTTCTCAATTTTCACAGAAACCATGAAAAACAGGAGTGATCACAAAAAATGGTGTTTCCTGCGATTTTTGCATGGACCCAGCCCTCCCCTCCCCCCCTAAATAAAAGCTTACCAGAATACAAAGCAAGCATGGCAATCCCTGCAGCCATAGATCATGTGGTTTGAGAGAGAATTACTGAGAGGCTGAGCTAGTGATGTAGGCACCAGTCTTAGGAAAGCAAAAAGGTTTTGGCGCCATCTTTTAAGAAACGCAATACAATGCTGTAGCAACACTGCAGTCTGAAGATGAGTGATTGGCTTCTTGTTCAATCAGCGGTGAGTGGGGGAACACTGTGAAATCAGCTCTGCCTGCCACAAGTGGCCCATGAAATACTTTAATCTCGCTGCAATTTAGGTAAGTCCGTATCCATAAAGCTTGTGATATTAGTAAGGACCACTCCTAATAATCAGCTTATCAACCCAGCTGTGTGAAAGTAGACGCACTAACATGAGTGGAATAATTTTTTGTCAAGAAGAAAACTTCTGGTTTATTTAAAATGCTACCATCTATTTATACTAAAGCTGCAGAGAATGGGAAAAACCACTCACTCATCTTCAGTTTATTTCTACAAGTGTGGGCTTCTTTGGGATCACTTCTTTGTTCCTAGGCCATACAGAAAATGTTTCTTGTTTCACATGCATTTTCGGCTTGATTCAGGTTCATGGGTATAGGGTGGTGCAAATTGCTTCTAGAATAAGTAGAAGCTACTCCAATGAGGAAGCAGTCTTTTGCTCACAGAGAGGACAAATGACTGCTTACCCGTGGAAGTTCATGAGAGTAGGGCAGCTTTGTACTGCAGTTGATTCCATGGTGAGCTTGCAGAGATGAGTCCAGAAATGGGCAGAACAGCCTGTCCATACCATGCCGTCTCTGCAGTCAGCATTGCTTATTTTTTTTAGCTCCATTGACCAAGTATAGGTTCCATATGTAGGTACAGATGCAGGTGACTTGGGCAACACAAAGACTTCTAGAGTGGGTTTCCATCACAACAGATCCTGTGCCAACAGAAACCAATCTTACCTAAGACTGAATCCCTTACTTAGAAGACCTGGAGTTAGTATAGAGATGTCCATTAAATATAATTTATTTAAATAATGTAATTATCCAATTTAATCAATTTAGTTTTAATTATTTATTTAATACCAAAAGCAGATGCTTAAACAAAGAAATGATCATTCCCCTTAAATTACAGAAGTTTTTTTTATAACTAGAGATGCAACTAGACTACCTTGTTTTTGGAAGAGCAGAAGTCGTCCTTTGATGTTTATTTATCTATATAATGTCTAAATGTGTGTTTTGTCCTTGAAATAAGATTCCTTTTATAAACATGGGACAGAGACTTGCCGCCTGCAATGTTTCTTCTTTTTTGTCCAGGTAATTCAGCAGAGAAGTGAAGAATGTGACCACATTCAGTTTTTGATTGAAGAGAAAGAATCTAAGGAAGAGGATTTTTATGAAGACCTTGACAGATTTGAAGAGAATGGTACCCAGGAATCTCGTATCAGTCCATATACTTTCTGCAAGGCTTTTCCTTTCCACATAATATTTGACAGAGATCTGGTGGTCACACAGTGTGGCAATGCTATATACAGAGTCCTTCCTCAGGTCAGGCCATTATCTTTAATGAGCAGTTTTAAAAATGAATATTATATTTTTTAAACAATACAAATGCTGGTTTAGTTTCATATATGCTTATATATTACAGGATGATAATAGATTCTGCAGACTAATTCTGAAGACATTTTAAATAACACCTGGGTTTGTTTTTGTCCTTCAGAGTGTTTAATCTTCATCTAACAGTGCTGTTCTACTCTGAAACGGTATACAAATTACACCTTGTTCCCTGACACATTGTTCTCTCTACATATTCAGGGGTTATTATTTTCAAAAGAAGAATTATTTCCATAATTTAAGGCCTACAAAGCCAACATAGCTGCCAACTGAATATTCCTTTGACTTGTAAATCAGCACTGATTCTTACTACATTCTGATTAGAGAACCAGACTCTCAAGTTCAGTGCATGTCTATATACTAGACTCAACACAATCGTTCTTTCCTGCTGTTTTTTATGTTACAGTAGTACCCACAAGCTGCAGTTAGGATTAGGGCCCTATTGTACTATGTATTGTGTATATATACATAAAGCAATATGAAACATTAGACCAGATGCAACTAATAAATGTGGTTAATTATATATGGGAAAGGAGAGGGAGAATAAGAATAGTATTAATGATATTATGTTGGCTAAGAATACATGAGCATACTTTGGTGATGTTACAGAATAATCATTGCGCTTTGGTGATATCTTAAAACTGGGACTTTCAGAAGGATTTGAGAACAGATCAGAGGTTTTACAGATTTTTCCCAGTGGCTTTCATTGAACAGGTGTAGCTAAGGAATAATGGGGTTTAGCCCACAAAATGTTTGTTGCTGGAGAAGAGGCATGAAAGAGCGCAACCTGATGTTATGATTCCATGGTGAGCTTGCAGAGATGATGATTAGAAAAAAAGTCTTTATATTTGTAAAGTAATTTTGAGGGCCAGCAAATATGCACCTGCAGTGCTGTTTTTGCAAGTCACTTAACTGGGGTAGAATTCTGTACGGGCACTGCATTCATGATATGAAAACGTTAAATGAGTTAGATACTTTACATGAGGCATGTGCCCACATAGTCTCCAGATAAATTCCTATAAATCTCTTCCATTTTGTATTGTATATAAACGGGGAAGAGATATAATCACTGTATGAATACCTTCTGGTTGTAGAAAAATCTGTGTCTTGTTTATGTCCTAGCTTCAACCTGGAAATTGCAATCTGTTGTCAGTTTTCTCCTTGGTTCGGCCTCACATTGATATTAGCTTCCATGGAATCCTCTCGCATATCAACACTGTCTTTGTACTGAGAACCAAGGTAACCAATTCATTTTTGTTTGGCTTTTATAGCATTATCTCTGTAGAGCATACTTCTAAGGGCCTGAAAACCTTGGGGCCCTATGGGAAAATGCAGGAAAAATCCTTTACACAATAGTAAGCCCCAAGTTCATTTTGAATCTTGGATTAAGAAAATGAATTCATGAATATATACATACTCATAACAGTGGAACATTGCAGGCACGGGGAGGTGCCTTACTTATACAATGATTTCCTGTGCTAAGATCTTGCTCAGCGACAGCCTTCCTTCAAGAGTATTAGTGAAAGGACAAAGAATTGCTGCATAGTAATTTGCAAACCAGATGTGATATGCTGCTGCTTTTGCCATTAGATGTGTCCTCCTCAACCACAGCTTGGTCCTACTTCCTACTCTGTAGACAGGGTAGTATAGCAGTAATGCTTGTTCTGTGTAAACCAGATGCAGCATGTGAAATATCAGCAGTTATATAAGGTAGCCTGATTAATTTACTGGACATTGCATCTGGGTAAAGAGGGAGTAAGGAGATTCTGTATGCAAGAGGTAACAACTCACAAGTGAGGAGGAGGCCAGAGCCAACAAAATGTGCGCCCACAAACTCAAAGCATCAGCATCATACTGCTAACAACATGCATGGTGGGGGGAAAAAAAGGAAAGAGCAGTGTACATGCCAAGTCTTTGTGAAGAAATTAGAAGAAAATGGAAAGCAGTAGTCATGTAAGTAAAGAAGGATACCAAAGGAACAGAGGCTACCATAGGAGAGCTAAACATAAGGTATTTTGACATGTTTGTATGACCAGTTCATATAGTTCTGATTGTAATTCATTCTATAAGCAGCAATCCCCTACTGAAGGGGGGGTGGTGAGGGGGAGGAGTGCATGCATGTGTGTGTGTGCTCCTGTTTCTAGTAGAGTAACACCGATATCAATGTTGTTATGTAATTACTATGCCTTTTTCATTACAAGGAAGGGTTGCTGGATGTAGAGAAGTTGGAGTGTGAAGATGAACTAACCGGCAGAGAAATCAGCTGTTTACGTCTCAAAGGTCAAATGATCTACTTACCTGAAGCGGATAGTATTCTTTTTCTTTGTTCTCCAAGGTACTTTAAGCAGTAAGAGGTCTGTAATACTGGTTTCTTTCTGACCGTGCTTAACCACTGGCAAGTTGCCTTTGAAAGTATGACTAGGGAAGCTTACTGGACCAAATGCTGATCTCTGCTATAGTGGTGCAGTTCCACTGATCTTGATGGACTTGAACTGGGATAAGGGATTTTGCATTTAGAGGGTAAACATGACCAATTAGTTAAATAATTAATTATAAAAATCATTGGAATTGTCCCATCATTTTTTAAGAAGTTCACAACTTAAGTCATGTCATTTGATATGGTAACACTAAAAAGAACTGTAAAACAGGTTTTCAGCTGATTCCATGTGCTTGGACAAGACACACTGATTCTTCAGTATCAACAAGAAAAATAGTTCTGGAAAATATATTCTCACATAAGCCAGGTAGTGATCATCACAAGACTGACGTGAGGCTGCCCATAGCCCAGACAATAAGGGTAGGATCCACAATGGCATGGATAAACTGATGAATAGGTTCAAAATTAATCATATGAAATACAACAAGGGCAAGTGCAAAGTCTTGTACTTGGGATGGAGTAATTGCGTGCATAAATACAGTTTGGGGAATGATTGGCTAAGCTGCAGTACTGCAGAGATGAACCTGGGGATTACATGGACTGCTGAATATGAGCCAACATTGTGTTCTTGATAAAGGCATATATACTGGATTGTATTAATGGGAGCATCATTCGCAAAATCAAGGGAAGTGATTTTTTCCCTCTTCCTTCAGCACTGGTGAAGCCTCACCTGGAGTATCATTTTCAGTTTTGGGCCTCATGCTTCAAGAAAGATGCAGACAGATTAGAAGGAGTCCAGCAGACAGTGACAAAAATTGTTGGAGACCTGGGAAACAGACGTATGAGAGAGGCTGAAATAACTAGGATTGTTTATTGCACAAAAGAAAAGCCTTGAAGGGGATGTCATAACTGTCTTCAGATACCTTAAGGGTGATTAGTAAAGAGGCTGAAGATAGAGTTTTCTCTATGTGTGTAGAAGACTGTTCTAGGAGGAATGGCCTCAGACTGCAGCAGAGGAAGTTCATGATGTAGATTAGGAAGAAATTTTTAAGAGCAGTTTAGATAGACATTTGACAACGGTGGTTTAGTAGGGGAAGATTTTGCCTTGAGTTAGGTTAGACAGGAGGCCCCTTCCAGCCTTACTTTTCTCTGATCTTTTGATCCAAAAAGCATAGATCTTAATTTGAGGTAAAGGAATAGGGCTCACAGCTGTCACCTCTAATATTTTTACATTCTAATTGAAGAGACACAGGGTCTGGAGACAAGTAACACCAGCTGTACAGCAGGTTTCAGCAATGCTGCTATTTGATTATTATTCCATGAATTTTTAAAAAGATATGTATTCAGACAGTTGATGCAAGATATACCATATTTACCTGAATCCAAGATGACTTTCAATTTAAGATGACCCCTCAATAATTATAATCTATATATGGAAAATTATCCATTGCTGTGGGGGTAAAGCAGTGGTTGGGGGGATACGAGGCAGGCAGCCTGCCCCTTGCCCTCCCTGCCTGCCATATGATCCCTTGCCATTTGCCTCCCCTGGTGCCTGCCACCCCAGCTGCTTGCCTCCGTGGTAACTGCCCTTTCTGACTCCCACCTGTTACTGCAATTGCCTTCATCCCCTGGGCCGGGGGGGAGAAACTCATCTTGGATTCAAGTAAATGCATTATGTTGTAAAGGGCACCCCAAAATGTATTGTATGTATTACTTGATCATTTTGCTAGTGAGACCCCAAACTGTGCCTCATAGTTTAAATATTGCTTAAACAAGTTTAGTAAGTATTACATATACTATATATGCTACATATACTGTACTATCTTATATAAATTGTACTATCTTTCTCCACATTATAGTGTGATGAACTTAGATGACTTAACCAGAAGAGGTTTATATCTGAGTGATATTCCATTACATGATGCTACCCGTGATCTAGTCCTTTTGGGAGAACAGTTCAGAGAGGAATATAAGCTGACTCAGGAACTGGAGATCCTTACAGATAGACTTCAGCACACCTTAAGAGCACTGGAAGATGAGAAGAAAAAGACAGACACGTAAGAATTAACTCCCAGCATTAAAGTGGAATAAATTTGGCTAATTACTTATACTCAATTTACTATAAAATAGATCTAGAAGTAATAGATGAAGAGAGAGGCAGGGCCTCAAGGCTAGGATGCGTGGAGCCAAAAAAGGACAATTTTGCTGCCCTTTACAGTTTTGTATATTCTAATAATTTTCAAATCTCATCTGCAATGCATATGTTTAAACACAAATTAATGGAGGGCTTCTCTTCTTTGCTGAACACATTTAGGAACTAAAGTGAACCAACAGTCCTCTTTGCTTTAAAAATGGCTGGAAGAAATAATGTTCCAGGAAAACATCTTGCTGAAGCTGTGCTAGTTTGAGCCACTGACAAAGTGCCGATGCTGCAGAAATTGTGCTATAATTTAGTGTGTGCCCTGTTGATAAAGAAGATGATTCTTGGGGAACAGACCATTTGAAATTATATAGAGGAAAATAAACTATTAAGGAAGTCTTTCTCTACCGTGAATAGTATTTAATTATGAAAAACTTGCATTTAAATATGACAGGAAGCATAATCAGACTACAAGAAATCTGATTTTCTTCACTGAAGATTGTCAGACAACACCCTCTCCTACATGCAACCCCTAACAAAGATGATATATAGAAGGAAGTCGTCTTAGAGAATGCTATTAATCTAGATACTATGGGCCTTGTGAGAGGTGATCTAGTATATAATAGTGTGTGTAAGCTAATTTTAGTATTACATAAAGGTCTCTGAAGAAGTCTGAGAACAAGAGCTAGTAACAGATACATAACCATATTTACTTGGATACAAGATGAGATACCCCCCCTGAACTGGCACAAGTAAAAAAGCCCCTTCTCTTTCATTTGTATACAAGGAAAGCTTATATCATTAAACTGCTGCCAAAAGTAGCATGTCCTCAGTAAAAGAAACCAACTATGAAGCTGATTTAAACACAGCCAAAACTAAGCATAACTATAAAACACATGGCCATTTTAGGCAAACATGCTGATAGGAACCTACCACAAGGATAGTTTTGTTCAGCCCATCTGAATAAGATATATGCTGGTGGCCTCTTAGTACCAGTCCTCCTCAGCGCTTACTTTTTCACATCATGTTGAGCTGCTACATTGCATACGTTTCAACTTCCTCTTCCTTTCTTTCCCATTTCCAATGATCCTTGTTTCTTCACCAGCCTTAAATGTCTGGCAAACATCACAAAATGGGGCCCCAAACAGTTCACCCAGAATCCTTCTGAAACCCTGTCGCATATGATTAGTATGGTTTTGCCCTCCATGAGGTGGAGCTGGACCATGTTGCTCTGCATGTCATATGCATATATGTTTTTGGAGGATCCCAGGATTCATGACAAGAACACCTGGTTCCAGTTATGAGTGGGAGCTAATTAGCACATGAATCCTTTGTGGGGGGTATCTGGAGCACATCTATACCTGAGCAGTGCTGAACTGTGGGGTCACCATGGCTTGACATGCTATTGACTCTGGTAGGTAGAGCCCAGGATGAACCTAATCGTTGATAATTCGCAAGCCTTTTGCTTTGAACTAATGCATAGTTTGTACTACATATAAGTAGGTGCCAAAGTGCTGCTTAAAGTGTTTATAGAGTACCTGTGCTAAAACTTGCAGCAGTTTCAAAAAAAGGTAATGTATTAATCCTGGATGAACTAAATATACGGGTCGTATATGGAACTTGCTACAGCCATGTTTTATTTCAAGGTTACTGTTTTCAAATATGCTTCTGACTTCTGTGTGCTCAGGGTCTGACTGTAAGGAATGAATTTGGGGGACAAAGGGGGCAACCTGACCCACCAGATTTATTTTCCCTTTTGTAGCAGTGGGAAGGGGGACCAATTCAAGGGAAACCTTCAAAAATTAGATACATACAGCATTATAACAAATTTATGAGTTTTCCATATATAGAATCTAATTTTTAGAGGGGCATCTTATATTCAGGGCCATCTTATATTTGATTATAAGTAACTGGTTGTGTGATAAGCAGCATGTGATTAATAGCAAACTGTCCTACTGGAAAAAATCATACCAACTGTGTAGTAGTAAAGTTTTTAATGGGTTTTATTGTATTAAAGGAACTTTGGCATATCCTAAATATCATAGTATAGTTTATCATATTGCTTAGCCTGTGGAGGAGTGACATTTTTTCTAAATATGACTAGGGGAAAAATGATAGGTTAAGGAACTCGGAGTCATAGGAAGCCTTAATATATATTTTTTTTCTGTTTAGCAAGTTTTATTTGGCTTTTAAAATTTACTTTGACCATCAGTAACAGTTTCATGTTTTGTGTACTGATCTGCATTGGTAACCCCCAATTCTGACAGTCTCAGAATAATTAATGGGATTTCATAGAAAAGAAGGTGGTAATCTGCACAAAGCTGCTGCAAGGTTAGGATCTGTCTCAGCAGAGCTGTCTGAAAACTTTAGCTTCTGTGCTTGGATGATTAAAGAAAGAAAATCTGTGGTTATGTCAAGCAAAGGCTTTATTATACTCAAACAGGACTTTTCAGTTGTTTTTAACTTTTGTTTATAAGCTTATAAAACCTAGCAGAGCATATATTCTTTACTAAGGACTATGGATCCAATTTGTCTATTTTTTCTTACGTGGTTAGTCCAAGCTTGCCTGATTTTTAAATTCCATTGATGTCAGTATCATAGACAGCAAATGAGTTCCAACCACAGCTTTCAAAAAAATATGAATGAAGTTAAACAGACCCAGTCATATAGCCTTGTCCTCAGGCAAGTAGATTTGCTCTTACAAGTAGACACATTCTTCTGGGTTTGCTATCATTGACATATAGTTGGGGATGAACCTGCTTTGAGCAGGGGTTGGACTAAATGACCTCCTGAGGTCCCTTCCAACCTTAATTTTCTATGATTCTTTGGCATCATCACTATTATTTTCTGTCTTCAGAGATGGCAGAATCCAAGATGCATAATTGAGGAGGCAGTCCCTGCAGGGTCTTTCCATATTTGTGCACCTGTGCAGGACTGGCCCCAGTATTATCTTCAGACTAGGAAGCAGCTTAGAATTTTTTAGGACAGGGGTCATACACCTGGCCAATGGATCCCTTTGATTTGACCTGTGGACCTGGGCTTCAGAAGCACTGGGTGGTGAGGGGATTTAGCAGCAGTTGCTTTCCTTGTGCCATCAAAGGGAAAAGCAGTGGCAGCAGACACTTTTCCCGTGCCAGCAGTGGGTGCCTTACCTGTGCTAGTGGTGTATGCCTTTCCTGTGCTGGTGACAGGTGTTTTCTCTGTAATGGGGCAAGGAGAAATGATGGTAGTGGGAACGGGGAAAAGTGGCAGTGGTTGGCACTTTCCCCATGCCAGCAACAGGAAAAAGTGGTAGTAATAGGTGTTTTAAAAAATGGCAGAAGCAATTGGGTCCTAGTGCCAGTCTACCCGTGGCCCAAAATGAATTGGGTCTGCAGCCTTAAAAGGTTGCTAACCATTGGTATAGGGAAATGGAGGATGTGATTAAAACCATCACGAGTAATTCCAGTGCTTGATGCTGAGCATTTATATGTGTTTAAAATGAAAAACTTCAGGAAATTCCATGTATTTAGGGGAAGAGCATCCATCCATTATTCTCATCCATCTCATGTTTTTGCCTTGTGTTTTCCTTCTTAGTTTTCATGTTTCAGTTTTAGGCTGTGCTATTTATTTGAAGCGTTATAACTGATGAGATCAATCGGGACTCTAAAATTCATTATGTTAATCTGCAAAATACTGGGTGTGTCTACACAAGATGATATGGCACTATAGCGTCTGTTGGCAAAAACCATGATGTCACCTCTACGTTGCTGTAGCAGCGTACTCCCTCATTATAGTGTGTTGCTACGGTGATGTAACGGCCAAAAATAACCATGTGTGGCTGGCATGGTGCAGTATGGGCTGTTACCGTGCTGTCTTCTAGTACTTTCAAAAAGAAGTACTAAAAATGACTATGTAGTACCAAAGGTGCCGTATGGCCATGTGTAGATGTGCCCACTGTCTGCTGTTCACCTGAGTGTGACCATCATAGTTTTGGTGGAGGTGGGTTTGCCAAGCACATATTATTTATCACCACAGACTTTGGTCACTAAAGTTTGAATTAGAGTTCTGCACAATGATAGATGAAAAACTAAGGAGATTAGATGACAATTTGCATGGTGATTTACAATATGAGCTTTTTAGTTTTCATCATATGAATCATTCTGTTTGTTGAAAATTAATGTAGTAAACCTTAAGGCCCAGATGCACATCTTGTGTAAATGGGTTTAGAACCATGGAAATCAGTAGAACAGAATCAATTTATAGGTATAAATTTACCTTAAGTGGCCAAAACATTTCCAGCATAAGGAAAAGTAGCCTTGTACAACTTTAATAGATTACATCTAAAGATTAATAACGCATTTCATAGTACTTAACTCCTGTATGCTGCCAATGTATATTCTTTTTAATGTAATTGCTTTAACCACACTGGGGTAGACCAGCTCCAATTCTTAAAGGAGTAGGTACTTCTGTATAAGTTGCTTATGTCACTTGCTGTTAAAAGTCACTAAGATATAATTGTGCATGGAGATAAGGTAATATTTTAATGATATATTTATTTTTTGTATATCTCTCTCATCTTTTTACATATCTAGCTTGTTGTATTCTGTCCTTCCACCATCTGTGGCAAATGAGCTGAGACACAAGCGCCCTGTGCCTGCTAAGCGGTATGACAATGTGACCATTCTGTTTAGTGGCATTGTTGGATTTAATGCATTCTGCAGTAAACATGCCTCTGGAGAAGGAGCCATGAAAATTGTTAATCTTTTAAATGATCTGTATACCAGATTTGATATTCTGACCGATTCACGAAGGAATCCATTTGTTTATAAGGTAAACATGAGATTTTTTTTTATTACCTTAGTATGGAATTTGGTCTTTGCTATTATGTTGCGGTGATTTAATGCCATAAATTAACATAATTTCTCTGTCATCCTTTGTGTTTTGGATACTTTTGGAAACGTGATTTGGATTTTGTTCTTGGGGAGGAAAAGAACACAGACTTGTTTTAGCAACATATAGGACTGCAGAGGTTTATTTATATTCCTGCACATTGAAATGACTGTGTCCACATGATACAATCTGTCTTCTGTTGTTTGTCTTAAACCGCTGTAGAGTTAGAGAGATAAGGTAGAAGAAGCATCTATTCTGTAACTGATATACCACCTGATTTAAAGATGGTCTATATATTGTCAGAGTTGTTTAAGGAACATGGAGAAACCAGAGGGCTAAGTTTATGGCCCTTACAGCACATGCCTGGATTGGATTTGGAGTTTTCTTGTACCAGTCCAGAGAATACTCAGTGAAGGATTTTAACAGCAGGAGACAGTTCTTCCCCAGCCTTTCTCTAAAACCATTATAGATCACATTCTGATACCCTTTCTCTGACTAATTAAGGTCTTAAAATGGCACTGCTTGTGAAGTGAGACGCTGCTCAGCCTCAATGAGGATATGAGAATGAGAACTTACATGTTTACTATAGAGTGGGGTATATAAGTTGGGTTCATTGTCATAACCATGCATTACAGACTCTATTCATAAATCCCCACTGTTTTTGCATCTGTGTGCAATCCTGAAGAGAGAAAACCTTTATTTACATTTTCCTGGTATATAGCACTCGTCTATCAAAAAAGTTATTACTGAAAAGTTAAATTACTTGGTGTTATATATTTAAAGAAGCATGATTTTTAATTTCTGAATTTGTGAGTGAGCACTGAAGTCTGGTGAATTTGTAGCCAGGACTCTGCATAGCCTCCTCTTGTAAGAAGGCATATAGATAAGTAATCATCCTATTGAAATATTCAAAGTATATGCCAAATGAAAAAATATCAGTAAGTTTGGAGACAGAATACAGTTATAATGGGCACGTCTACATGTTGCTGAAAGACAACATTGCTACAGCTCTGTCCTTTAGTACTTCCTTTTGCAAGTACTAAAGCATGGCACAGTATGGGCTGGTACTGTGCCCTGCATGCCATGCATGGGTAAATTTCCCAGCTACATTGCCACAGTGGCATGCTATACGGGAGGAGCACACCACTGCAGCGATATAGCTGGTGATCACGTGTAGACCCACGTGATCACCATGTTGCTGTAGTGTGCCATATGGTGATGTGTAGATGCACCCAGTGTCTAACACCACCTCCCACCTTTATCAAGTCTAGAAGCACTTTGATGAACCAATCCAAATATTTTCTGAGTTAGAAAAATTCTGCAAGTACTGGTTCTGGACCAGTCAAGTGAAAGATATATCATTTTTTTCTGAGCAATAACCAGAAGATGTTTTTATGTTCTAAAGTAGAAAAAAGAATCAACATTGTACACACACAGCTGCATTTTTATTGAAAACCCAGAAAAAGTGTTTCATGTGCACATAATCATAATAAGGTTTTAGTGTACGTCCTTTTCAGCATATACTCTACTTCTTAATTGCAAACAGTGGAACAAGGCAAATAAAATAAATGCAAGTTGAGGAAGAAAATATTTGCAATGGCAGACAATCTAGAAAGAAGCTCATCAGGGCTAGCTTTCTGAAACACAAGACAATAAAATAATTTAAAAATATTTGTTTTGATAGGTGGAGACTGTTGGCGACAAATATATGACAGTGAGTGGTCTACCAGAGCCGTGCATTCACCATGCACGATCTATTTGCCACCTGGCACTGGATATGATGGAAATAGCAGGCCAGGTTCAGGTAGATGGAGAGCCGATACAGGTTAGTAATTGTCTTTGTTTGAATAAAGAACCTGCTGCTGCAATATTCAAAACTCAGCCTCTGCAAGTTTTTATTATTGATCTTTGCACATCTTTGCAGTGCTGTAAAGAGCCACAGACATTTTGAGAAGTGCAGTGAAGAGCCATGGCCATATGAGAGAGGGTGTGTAGCTCCCCGACTCCCAAGGCAAATTATAATTCCTGATATTAACAATGTTAGGTCCTTAAATTTGTGTTTGCCATTGATTTTAGTGCATACCCCACCTGCCCATCTGAATGCCGATTTGCATCATCCTGTGTCACAGTGGACTGAATAAATCAATTTGATTGTGAATTGTATCTGTTAAGCATCATGGGAAATTATTTCATTCTAGGGGAACATGTATTTTTGTAGTCATTTTTGGAAATGGATAATGACAACTTTCTGCAGTACTAGAAGTTACCTGCATCATGTTTTTTAGTATATTTTTACAGAATTGGAGAGCAAAAAAACTTTGAGGACAAAATAACCACCTGATAAGTGAACAGCTTTGTTTTTGGCCTTACCTTTGTGTTTCACTGTACTTTGGGGCACAGAATTGGAGAATGTCTGATCTGATGCTGTTCAGTAATTGACTCGTATAAACTGTAAAAGGACTTTCGCTGAATTCACATATTTAAATCCAAGAGAGAGATCCTCAAAACCCAAGCCTAAGTCCTTATGTGCTTACATTTTCTGTAGAAAAAGTTCCCTGAATGCCTTACTTCTGCACATGCTTTGAACTGCTTTTATCTGGCTGGGCTGATGAGCTTGTCTACATTATAAAATCCACCAGGAAACCGCAGACCAAGTATTTCTCTGCCAAAGTCCCATGAGAGACTCAGTCAGGTTGGGGTGGTCAAACTACCTCATCCATAAAATACTGCAGCCATAGTCACTTCAGTTAAATGCCACAGCCAGAGGAAATAGTATCACTTATGCTATTGTTTTTGAAAGAAAAGTCACTCCTGTTCCATTTTTGAAAGGGATGACTTGTATGCGTATCTTTAAGAGAAGATTCCTAATTGTGATTCCCTGTCTGACATGGGCACCATCGTGCCACCCACAGTTCAGATCAGAAAATCATCTAGCCTGTATCAGATTCCCAGTCTGACATAGACACCTGCATCTGAGCCCCAGGCAAAAATGGGATTTTAAACGCAACTTTCATCAGCACTCCCAGTTGGTTTCCTGAGGTGCCTTTCTGATTGTCTGTGAATTCTGGTCCAAGGTATCCAACTTTTCCTATATGAAAGGCTGTAGATTCCACTGGCACTTAGAAGTTAGGTGGTGTAACGCTCAGCTTCTTAGGTCAGATACAGATATTACACTTTTACTGGTATAAGTGATTGGAAACTGGTCTATATATCTGTAGCAGGACAGAGGTTCAACACACAAAACTGATCTGTACCCATAACGGAACAGAAGTTTGGCATACATGGACTGGTTTAAAAATAGCAAGACCTGAGTTAAGATTTGTTGCCCTCTCCCCCCCACCCCCCAATCAAATGCTGAATATGTGTTTTGTTCACTGTTGATATAAACTACAGTACATCACTTACAGAAAACCACATAATTTAGATTGCATCTGCCTCAGGTTTTTTGAATGTCTGTACCTAGGCATAATATCTAAGCCTCATTGTACACCTTTCTTCATAGCACTAGTGAGAGGCACCTTTGTTTATAAAGACATCTATGTGGGAGCTGAGCCTTAAAAGGAAAAACAATGCTGGTAGGCTTTCAAGTGTGTATAACTCAGATCACTTTCATCCTTTCCTAGTACTGAAGGAAATCATTATATTTTGCACCATATAGTAAAATTAAAGGTCCAGATGTTCCATAAACAGGAACTCCTGCTGGCTCATTTTCAAATTGTGTAAATGTGCAGTTTGAGCTAGTCGAGTTACAGTGTAGGAACCAGGCTTTGATTAAAATGCCATAAAATAAATATAAGAGGGGTTTTTTTTTTAATCCACTTTCAAATTGTTTATTGTATCATGGAAAATCACATGTTCGTTTTTTCTGTAATACAGTATACTGTAGTGAAAAATTTGGCATAATGTGTTCTGCTTAATTTAATAATACCTTAATTTGATCAAAATAAGAACTAGTTATATTATCTAGTGTGATTAATTTGGATTACTTTAAGAAGGAATTGGTGAATAATTCAGCCATCAATTATAGAAAGTGACTGTTTGCCCAGGTTTCCGTTGACTTTACTAAAGCTGCCAGTGACTTACACCTGTCAATCCATAAACAGCATCATACTAGGGCTGCGCAAAACTTCGGTTGCTGATTTGATTTGGTGGAGATTTGGCCCAATTCGGTGGCTGAATCTCTGAATCCGAATTGAATCCGGAGACCCTTTAATCTGTCCAAATCAAATTGGAACCCTCTGAATTGATTCAGAGAGATTCAATGATTTGGACATAGATACAGCTTTAAATGTTTTTTCTACATACCTCAAGGTACCAGGAGGCTTGTGGGGCAGATGGAGCGTCCCATCTCCAACGTGCTCGGCAGCAGACCTGGAAGTGGACCAGGAGCACTTTCGTTCCACTTCCAGGTCTGCTGCCGAGCATCCAGAGATGCCCTCTCGCTCCTTTGGGACACTCCATCCACCCTACCATCTCAATGTTCACAGGCTGTACCTGGTACCTTGAGGTATATAGAAAAAAACATTTAAAGCTCTGTGTGTGGCCGAATCGCTGATTCTCTGAATCAGCATTGGATCTTCAGATTCAGATTTGGCCGAATCGAATCGCGCAGTGATCTGAATCAATTAATTGAATCACTGTTCCTGATTCGGGCCGAATCTGAATTGAATAAGGCCTGTTTTGCACACCCCTACATCATACCCATAGTTACTAAAGACAGAAGTAGTTCTAAATAAGATTGAAGTAAAACGATCTCACAGATAACTTGTTATAAAAACAGATAGGACATTGGCTGCTTCCGTCAGCCAATCAGAGAGTGAATAAAGCATTGTGGAATGACTGACAGACGGAGATTGAGGCTTTTATAATATTAGAATTGTGAATTGACCAATTCAGCTGTTCAGAATTGATAGTACTTTGCAATTACTGCTCATAGGTGTAAATAACACATGGTACAGGGTATTGAACAATCGAGGCTGATATCTCAAAAGTATAGTATAAAAAGGTTGTTACATGTACTGTGTCTGAATCTTCAAGATTAATAAATTGATAAAGAACTAACAAAATATTGTCTCTTTCTTTTTAAAGATAACAATAGGCATTCATACTGGGGAGGTGGTTACCGGTGTCATTGGCCAAAGGATGCCACGTTACTGTCTCTTTGGAAACACTGTTAATCTGACCAGCAGAACAGAAACCACTGGAGAAAAGGGAAAGATCAATGTCTCTGAGTATACCTACAGGTGAGATGTTGAGAAATCCTTATGGATGATTAAAAAATTTCAAAGGAAACATTTTTTCAATATACTTTAAGAAAAAAAATATAGGTGATAATGTCAGGCCCCTGTCAGCACGTTATGTCATGTGATTTTTGAGAATTGTGATAGACTGTATCGTGAGTCACTATTTCCATAGGAAAGAATAAAATGCAAGCTCAAGAATTTGCATGGAGACATGATAGTAGCCTTGAGATGCAAGCTATCACTGTTTTCAGTGTATAATATTTTTGTTTTTAATTCTAGGTGTCTTATGACACCAGAAAATTCAGATCCTCAATTTCACCTGGAACACAGAGGTCCAGTTTCCATGAAGGGGAAAAAAGAACCAATGCAGGTTTGGTTTCTGTCCAGAAAGAGTACAGAGACAGAGGTATGACTAACCAAAGTGTAACTCTTTTTTAAACCAAGGCATAAATAAAACAAGTTTTCAATGTAAATCACAAAGAACTGTTTGGTTTTGCAAAACTGAATCTTCCCTACAAGAAATAAACCCTTTTGTAAACCTTTTATTACATTAATGTATTTACCATCTTGACAGCAGATTAAAGGGCTTGATTATTGGTCTTTGGTGTTTATGCCTTCCCTAAAAAAAAAAAAAAGAATACTTTTGTATTATAAAAAGTTCTTGAGGGGCTTGCCAAGTGTTTAAATATTTATTTCTCTCTCTACAGATTTTTCTGCTATATTAGACTTTGTAATACACAGTACATCTCTGTTTAACTGATGTGGAAAGTTAGTGCCATTTGAAAACTTACCATTTGTTTCCCTGCAGTGAGTGAAATATTGCAGTCTTCCAGTTCTTAGTTACCAGTTATGCCTATGCCTCTGCAGAGGCTCCCTGCTGATATGAGTGGGACTCTGTGCTAGCACAGGGATCTGCCTTCATGGAGGCTGTTTCATGATAGATGCCTTAGCTAAGGGAAATACAGGGTCAAATTATATAAAAGAACCTAAGGAACCATCTATACTTCTCTCCATTCATTGCCCAGGAGCACTTACTTCCAATCCATATAGGCCAGCTCCCAAAAATGAGGCAGTGTAGCTGCTTACAAGGTCCCCAAGTGCATGTCCAATGCTAAGATCTCTGTCTCAAAGAAGCTTATTGGCATGCTCTTGGGGCAGCTCTATATTGGCTACATAGTGTGATTTCTGGAATCTGGAACAAGTGGAGCAAGAGTGAGCATGTGTACTCTGCTTTGTCATGACAATCCTGGATGCAGAACAGAGGCAATGAAGACATGTCTTATATGACTTGGGAACCTGAGTCCCATTTTAAAAAATGATGGGGTAAAACTGTCAAAGGAAATAATTTAGGATCTCAGCTTAATTTTAGTTTTCAAAAGTGACTTAGGCTCTTTGCAGCCAAAGACTTATTCTGTGCCTATGGTTCTAAGAGTCTGAGTATACAAATAAGGCTGCCTTACGCATGTTCAGATGATCTGAGAGAATTCTTCCAGTTTTTTTTCCTGATAGAAAAACTTACCAGAAGCTCTTGAAGAGACATTGAATACTATGCCCCTGAGGAGCAAAGTACTTGCAGTAATGACTCTGCACAGCCAGGAGGGCGGCCTGTGTACACATCACAATGTGCTCTGCCTGCTCCCTCAGTCTGCCTGGAGACGGAATGGCAACAGTGCATGGTGGAGGAGGGGGAAAGCAAAGCACCCTGAGATGCTGGTAGACTGTGTTGTTGATTCTGTCAGAAGAGAATGTAGGTAGACATTTGCTGTCCCAGAAGAAACTCTTCCTGGGTGTTCCCAGGTCATTTTTCTTCCAGAGCAGCCATTTTTGCTCTGGGAGAAAAATCCCGAAAATCTGTACACTCATGTTTTTTCATGGGGAGCAGCAAGTCTCCCAAGAGAAAGTGAATACAGTAAAAGCTGCCTTAACCAGCACCTTACAAGCTGGCATGCTGTATTAACTGGTGTGCTGGCTTGAGGTAAAAGCGGAACTGTAAGTGCCCACCGTGGCACTTCCAGTTTTGCCAACCCCCACGGTCTGGGGCAAAGCAGCTTGCACTGCTGAGCCCCTGTGGCCCAGGTGCGTGGGGCCCACCTTCCTGTCCTGCAGGGCCTGTGGGAGGGTCGGCGATGCGGTGGGAGAAGCGGTGGCCCAAACAGGCAGATGCTTGTTTGGGCCTCTCCGTTAACTGGCATGTTTTGTTATTCAGCATTCCCCGTGGGTGCCAGATAACAGAGCTTTTGCTGTATATGTATGTGGCCAAAATAACTATACAAAAAAAAAAAAAAAAAAA